AACAAAAGTAAGAGAAATTTAGGAGAAGAATACGAACATGTTCTTGCATGAGGCCCATTGTTTTAGACCAGGGCTATTCAACTGGCTGTTTCCCAATTTCAGCCAATTAGTTCATTCATCTCTTCAGCCCAAACTCCTGGTTTTCTACTTTAATTACTCTAAGTTCTGTTAGTTAAACATGTTTATCTACAGTAACATCAGAATCTTGGCTACAAGCTGGTAAAAACATTTCTATGAACACTCAAGACAGTTAAAACTACAAGTAGTTGATAATAAAACTACAAGAGTGAAAATTAAATTGTTTTAAAAATTAGGCAAATCAGAGATGTTAAAATAATATTTGTGTTAATTATGAGACATAATGTGTTCTTTTTGTTTTTGATATTGTTTATCACTACTTTTATAGGGTTCTGTATGTTGTATTCATGATTAAATACAGCAAAATAAACTATTTCAAAGTTAACAGATCTTTGTAACACTTGGTTTATTTACGTAATGACTGTAATTAATGGATATTCGGCCCCTCAGCTGTTGATCTGCAGTAAATGTGGCCCTGGAGCAGTTTAAATGAATAGCCCTGTTTTAGACCAATAAGTAGCTCACAATACAAACATCAAAACAAGGTTTTATTGAGAACATCAGGTCTGAACTGAACTGAATACAATAAAAAGGTGCAGAGAAGCCAGTGTGAGGACCTGGGATCTCAGCAGATCACTGCTCTCATCAACAGGTTTGAAGTTTGTCTGACTCACTGAATTTAATGAATGACTTAAATGTTTAAGAGTTTGGGTTGTYCCAGCACTGTCAATCAATATGTGAGGAACAGGTGTGGCGTTACCTGTTTGGCTGCTTCTTCAGGGATGTCGAGCTCTCTGAGCTGCTGAAGGAACAAAGGATTCACATCCTGAAGAGATGAATGTGTTTCTGCTTCCTCTGATGGCTCCATGGCTGACTGTAAGAACAACACAACCACAGTGAACACACAACAAACCTTTCCTCTGACATTAATCATTCTTGTAGTTAGGGTTCGGCACAGTACTGCAACAAGGACAGCTGCTCAAGACTTTTATACTAATTATAATAATAAGTAGGGTTGGGCATAATCGTATTGTGTGCAATTGATCATGCGAAAAACAATCGATTATTTTTGGCACTTGACGATTAATACGATTAATGCCAGCAGGCAGATGGACTGGGGATTACTTCGGTCAGTCCGCTCACTGCTCCTCTCTGCTTCAAATATGACGAACATTAAAAATAAAGTTCTGTAATTTATTTATCTATCAACACAACTTAAAATATGATGTACAGCCTGAAATCTGTAATTTTCACACAATTTGGAACAATTTTTTGTGACTATGAAATAAGGGTGTCCAGGGACTCCAGGGGATTAATTGTCAACTTAATCATTAACAAAGAAAAAAAATCGTCAAATTAATCGTTATCGGCTAAATACCACAACTAATCGTGATTAATTTTTTTGCCAATATTGCCCAACCCTAATAATAAGATAAATCTTTACTGTCCACCAAGGTGGACATTTTCCTTTGGCTCTCCAGCCATAAAACACATTCATACAAAAACACACACAATCATAATTTCAAACATTTAAAAACATAAATAAAAAAACAAAAATAAAAGCCCTGAACATCTTCAGTGGGAGATTGTCATTTAGTTTGGTTAAGAATAGTTATTGCACTGGGAATAAATGACCTCACAGATGTTTATGGTTGCCAGAGGGACMCTAAAACACCTTCCTGAGCTCAAAGGTTCAAACTGATGAAAAAAAAGGATGGCTACTACCTGCTAAAATACTCCTCGCCATCTTTTTTGTACACACATTTTCCTCACAAAACTTTAYATACGAGGTAATAGTCTCTGTAAGTTCAACAGGATTTTTGCAGAACTGGAAAAATATTTTCCAATTTGTCTCCTGGAAGCAGTCATTGAGTCGTTCTTTACTTTTATCAGACCACACTTGTATTTCTTTGTCAAGAGTTTTCTRTCTTTTTTACCACAGCTCTATATTTTGGCACAGGTGGATTACGTTGTGGTCAGATTTCCTAAGGGTGGTCTGCAGATGGCTTTGAATGCGTCAGGTCCCTTTGAGACGTGTAGGACAGCCCACATACACCCCTGATCAAAATCTTAAGACCAGTCAAAAAAGTGCAAGAATTTGCATTTTGCACTATTGGAT